CTAATTTTTGTGTAAGAAAGAAAGAGAAATTAGAAAACAGACATATCTTTGTTCATTGGTGCAAACAGAAACACAGGAAGGATTTACCAGGGATTAATGAGATTGATTAACTATAGCAGAGTGGGTGGGAATGGAGCATAGAAAACAGATACAGTGGGAAGGGGGAGTTGCCACTTCTCTGAGTATACTGTTTTGTATAGCTCTGACTATGGAACAGTGTTAATGTTTCACACATATACAAGAGAAGAAAATAAACAAAACTACCAAGGATGGAGAAAAAATCATTAAAATAAAATACCATCAGAAATATATGAACTACATGGCATTTCAAATGAGTTACTGCATACATTGAAGGGAGGAGGGGGAAAACAAAAACCACTCACCAGGGGAATTTTTTATTATTTTTTAAATTGAGATATAATCCACATACCATAACACCCTTTACAGCGCACAGTTCAGTAGATCTTGAATATGCACAAGGTTGAACAACCAACACTATCCAATCCCAGAACACATTCATCTTTCCAAAAAGGGAATGACAGACCCATTAGCAGACACTATTCCCCCTCTCCCAGCTCCTAGCAATCACTAATCTACTTTCAGTCCACATGGATTTGTCTATTTAGGGCATTTGCATGTAAGTGGAATCGTATTTTGTGTTGGCTCTTTTCAGTTAGCATGATGTTCTCAAGGCTCATCCGTGTTGTAGTGTGTATTAATACTTCTTTCCTTTTTATGCCTGAATAATAAGCATGTATTTAATCACACTTTGTTTACTCATCATCAGTTGATGGACATTTGGGTTGTTTCCTCTTTTTAGCTGTAATGAATAGTGCTACTATGAGCATTCATGCTTGCATTTTTATGTGAACATGTTTTCAATTCTCTTGGGTATAGACAGCTATGAATGGAAATTCTGGGTCACAAGACGCCCATTATACCTATGTTGGTACATTTGATAGTGTCTCACAAGTCTCTGAAGATCTGTTCGTTGTTTTTCCTGTTCCTCCAATTGGATAATCTCAATTGACCTTTCAGTTGACAAAATCTTTTATCTGCCTGTTCATATCTACTGTTGAGCCATTCTGTTGAATTTTTCATTTTAGTAATTGTACTTTTCAACTCCAGAATTTTTTTGGCTCTTTTTCATAATTTCTGTCTCAATATTGGTATCCTCAATTTGCTATGACATTGTTCTCAAGACTTTCTTTTAGCTCTTTAAACAGTTTCTTTTGGTTCTTTGAACATATTTTAATTATCTAATGTCTTCGTTAAGTCCAAAGTCTGGGTTTCCTCAGGGAATTTCTGATTGCTTTTTTCCCCTGCCAGTGCATGGGTTGTATCTTCTTGTTTCTGTGCAGGTCTCATAATTTTGTTGGAAATTGGACATTTTAAATACTATAATGCTGCAACTCTGTATATCAGATTCTCCTTCTTCCCCAGGGTTTGTTGTTGTTGTTTATTTAGTAACTTTTCTGAACTACTTTTGTGAAGTCTATATTCTTTGTTGTGTATGGCCATGGAAGACTCTGATTCATTTAGCTTAGCGATGTGGTAATAATTGGACAGAGATTACTTTAAATGCTTGGAATTGGGGCTCTGTGTGTTGGGGCACACCTTCAACACTTGACCAGGAAGTTGATAACCCCTAGTCTTCACTTGTGACTTGTGCAGCGCCTCAAAGTCAGCCAGAGATGAGAGTTTAGGGCCTTCTCAGTTTTTTCCTGAGCGTGTGCACAGCTCAAAGCATGTGCTGGATCTCCTTGAGTCCAAGAAATCATGTCAGAACTTAACAAAGTCCCTATGAATATTAAATTCTCCAGATTTCCTTTTAGGCTTTTTAACTTATCGTTCACCCCAACTGTTATTCACTGCCTAAGGCAGCCTTGATGCTAAACAATGTCCTCTAATTGTTTTTGGAAAGCAATCTCAGGGAAAAGGCTTATCATATAGGCAAGCGCTGACTCAGGTCAAATAAAGTCATCCTTGCAAGTGGGGTCTTCCAGTGAATCATCACACAGGTCAAATAATGACAGTCCTCAGGGAATGTGTCTCTGAAGAAACTCCAACCCTCTTCTGAACTTCCTCCAGCGGCTGCCAGGCTGCTGGTTTGCAGTGATTGTGGGTTCTTGGTTTTCAAGGCTACCAGGGACTGGGAAGCAGAGGATGGAAATAGGGCAGGTCAAGATCTCACAATGATCACTGTTTTTGTCAAGATTCAGGATTCAGGCATTTTTCTTGAAAAAATACTCCCTGGATTGCTGCAAACCTTTGGCTAATTCCAGAGTTCTGAAAAAGTTGTTTCTGACAGTTTGGATAGATTTTTTTATTGCTTTTATGGAGAGAAGAATTTTTGCATGTCCTTACCCCACCATTTTAGCTGTTATTACACTAGGTAACTTCCAAACATAGTTTTAAAATCATATGCCCTCTGGCTAAAGAAAAAAAGAACTCTAAACAAACACTGAACTTTGGCTAGTAGACTTCTGTTTTGCAGAGGCATCACTTAGCAATTCTGAAACTGACTTTTGTGTATTCTAGGCAAATACATAAATATATTGTGGATAATGGGAACCAACTTTCTCATTGTTAAAGAAATGATTTATATGTTACAAGGACACAGAAGATAGCTTGAGGAGGCCCCTGTTGGTCAAATTATGCATAATTCGAGCATCAGAATAAATAATGAAGGACTTCTACTTCTGACCACTATGAAATATCAGGGATTTGTCCTTCCACATTAAACAACTAGAAAACTGGACAAAATGTACAATAGTTTTTGGACAATGGACAATAGATGGCACAGGACAGCAATATCTGAAAGAAAAATAAATGAGTGCTATTAAGTACACCAGCTCACTGCCTTAAGAGTTTCCAAACTATAATGCAAGGGGAAGAAATATCAAAAGTCCTAAGGGGCCCACTGAATTGAAGAAAGACTTCAGAGTTCAAGCAGGCTAATGTGATGTGAATTCGTGAGGCAAAATAGGAGAGAGGAAGGAGACATACAGAAAGAGAAAAAGTGTCTGGAGATCTGTAGAAGGGTCCCCTCAAGTCTTTGGTAGAAGACTGATCTGTGTAATATGTATGAACAATTTATCAAGGCCAGGGGAAAAAACACCTGAAAGAAGTAACTGGAACTGTATCTTACATAAGCCCCAGGTATAGTCTGTGTTCTTACCAGCCACAAAAGAAAGATTTCCTAACAGACAAAGTATGAGGTAGAGTTCTTAGAATGGTAATGCCTTAGTAGTGAGGCCAAAGGAGTCTTAAACCAGGGTTTCTCAACCTCAACACTGTTAACCTTTTTGGGGTGGAAAATTCTTTGTTTTGTGTACTGTAGAAAATTTAGCAGCATCCCTGGATTTTATCTGCTACATGCAGGTAGGGCCCCTTGCCCTTGCAACAACTCAAAATGATAAGGAAAACTCCCATCTGTTACTTGGCACATCAGCCACCCAAGACCCCCACCCCTCAGGGAAGACCCGCATCAGCGTAACAGTAACTTATTACTTGGCCCATCAGCATAACACTAAATCTACTATCTGACACATCAACTAACCTATTACCTGGCGGGCATTAACCACCTGACACCCTAACCCCCAGACCACCACAACTTAATAAAAGTGGGAAAAATCTGGTAGACAGCGCTCAGAATTTGGTGGTGAGGTCCCTCTGAGCCCGCCGCAAGTAAACTTTGATTTTCCGACTCTCTGTGTGCCACTCGGTTTGTCCTTGGGACCACTTGCTTGTAACATTTGCTGTAACAAAAATATCTCCAGACATTGCCAAATGCCCCCTCGGGGGAAAATGTCCTAAGTTGAGAACTAACCAGGTGTGAGGAACCTGTGGCCTTGGGGCCACAGGCGGCCTTCTGGATCCTTGAGTTTGGCCTTTTGACCAAATCCAAAGTTTACAGAACAAATTGTTTTAATAAAGGGACAAGTGCCCCCAATCTCACAGTCTGGAAAACACTTGGTAGCCACAGAGACATTTTTCTTTCACTTTTTTCATCAATCTGAAAATATGTCAGAAGAAAAAAGAAAAAAAGTACAAAAACAAATTTTTCATTCAACATAGCCAAAATAATTTCCTTTCTGTATACTGTCTTGAATTTCATTGTTCTAGTCATCTAAATTCTTAAGTTTTTGAAATAGAAATGACTCTTGAGAGCTTGTGAATTCAGGCTAACCAGATGGGCTTCCTTGCCACTAA